TAATTTTAAAATTTTTTCTTAACAAAGTTAATAAAGTAGATTTTTAAAAATATATTTTACTTAGAAAGTATATTGTTGAAATTAATATTTAAGATTTATTAAAAAATTAAAGTTTAAAAAAATGAACGCAAGCAAATTTGTCTGTATTACAATTTAAGTGATAGATTTGGACATGCTTATGATTATTTGCAATGTATATTTTATTAGATCTATATGTGTATCTATTAAAGCAATTCATATATTCTTTAATTTGTGACAATCTATATCAAATTTTCAAAATCGCTAAAATCTCATTAATATCTAGTTAAGCATGACTTTATTGTGCAATTACTTATTAATCATTATACCTGTTATGACTATTGCACTCATTACGACTATTATGCCTATTACACCCATTACAACTATTACTTCTATTATAGTAAAAAATTATAATCTTGAGACGAAAATATTATGGTAAGCAACTTTATTATCAATCAAAACCAGAAATGGCGCAGTTACTGAATTTTTTTATCCCAAATTCGGTTTCACAATCATGCAAGAAGCATATGAAATTTGCTATCTATAAATTGCAACAAACCTTTTGCCTTAATACTAAGAATATATCCTACATACAACTTTTCGCTCATAATTTGTTTATTCACTATCTGCATTTTCAATATATTAATACGACTTTTAATACATATTTATTAAATATTTTCACAAAATTTGCTTATTTTCTCTTTAATTTCTATCAATCTGCACTAAAAAAGATTCTTTTTTTTTTTTAATGATTAGTTAATATTGATACAAATTAACTAAACAAACCAAAAAAATGACAAAATTGATATTGAGAGTCAAAATCAAGTTATAACCTGTTCATATTTTAAAATTTAAGAGCACCATATCAAATTATAATATATATGATAATAGATTAGAAAAATCAAGATATAACTAGCTTTTTATTTGATGCTATACTTGAATAATGATAAAATTATCAATTTTGGTTTTTAGCGGAAATTTCTAACCTTTTAGTAAAGTTTTGTAAAATTCTACTGACTATTAATTTTACTTTCAGTAACAACACCAGTGCGAGGTCGATGATTTATTGCGATCATAAAAACAGCTAAGAGCAAAAATTAGAATTTCAAATAATATGAAGTTTTTACAACTGTCAATAGTGATTATCCAAATTTAGTACTATTATATTGTTTATGTATGAGTAAAAGGGTTTGGAATTACACAAGGTCCAAAACTATAGTATTTCTTATCGTTAAATTACAAACTTTAATCTAAATAGATATTTTTTAAATTACTTGTTTTTTACAAATTTTAATCTAAAACAAGTATTTCTTACATTACTTTTTTGCTCGATTCTTTAAAAGCAATTAAGTATGTTATATTTTAATGACAATTAATTTTTTTGTCTTTCAAAGATTTTTTTAATAAATAAAATTTGTGCATATTACACTTTTAAGCATGTTAAATACAGAATTAACATTAAACTACTACAGAATTACACATAAACTACATAACTTTATTATTAAAAAAACAGTGTATTGCATTACAGAAAGTTTTTTAACCACATACAGAATTCGGTCTTAGTCTTAACAGAAATCATTAGCACTATTGGTACTGCATTGATGCAAATTTTTTCAAAGGAATCAGAACTATAAAAATAACAAGGGCCTGACTAATTTTTATACTATTAAATCGAAATCGAGTACCAGACAAAATTCTGACAAGTACAATCTCAACAGGTCATAATCCCAACAAAAAAATTCTGATAGTCAGAATTTTCAAGTAGAAAATTCAGTATGTTTAAAGTGAAGCTGCCTTTTATAATTTAATTAACTTTAGGGTTAGTTCACTAGTTTGGCTAAGGTTAGCAATAGTTTATGATATTTTTTATCAGAAATTTTAATTTTCAGGATTTTTAACTATCAGATTTTTGGCTGTTAGGATTTTTTTGTTAGGATTATAACCTGTCAGGATTTTGCTTGTCAGGATTTTGACCTAAACCCATTAAATCGGTCTTACAGAAGTTTGACTTTTAACCCAATATTCTAATACTTTAATCTGAAGATTTTCTAATTCAAATAAGATTCTACCTATTCGCATACCAATTAATAATTAATAAGCCCTTTTTGTGAATTTATATATGCGAAATACCTTGATTAAATCTGAAATGAATAATAAAATCATATTGCTAAAAATAATTCGCCACATATGTACTTATATGATTAAGTATCTGGTTTACTGTTCTATATAGGAACTTTGTGGTAGGAAAAAGCCTAAATGCTATAAATATTATATATAGCATTTAGTCCTTTTTACTGCAAAATTCCTATATAAAAAGTTTGGCTTTTCTCACATTGGCCCCTTATATTTGTCAACTTGTAGTGAATAACTTTTCAATAGTTTAAGTTTAAGCACTATGCCTCCTCAATTAGTGTCTAAAAAAACGCGAAGTCACATTAATAACATACAAAAAAAAGAAATATGTGAAATTGCAAAAAAAAATCTGTTATATCGATATCAAGAAATAGCAAAAGAGTTTACAAAACATTATCCAAATTTGAATATTGAATGTTCAACTGTAACAAAAATACTAAAGCAAGCTGATGAGTATCATCAAATTAAAAATGATGAACAAGCTGAAAAAACCTTTCGCTATCATTCAGTGAAGTATCTGAAGCTAGAACTCGCTATAAATATATGAGTAGAACAGGTTATAGCTAGTGAAATAATTATATCAGATTTAATAATAAAAGAGAAAGATCAATGTTTTGCAAAAGAATTTAGCATACCTAAAGAATCCCTCGTATTTTTAAATAGATAGATCACTAAGTTTAAAAAACGAAATAGATTAAGAAAAATAGTATTACATGATGAAGCAGCAAGTGCACCCTTAGAAAACCTATTTACAGAACGTGCCAAATTACAAGAACTTCTTTCCAAGTATAATCCTGAAGATGTGTACAATACTAATGAAACAGGTCTGTTTTACCTATTACTTTCAAATCAAATACTTTCTAAAAAAGCAATAGCTAGAAAAAAAAGGTTAAGTAAAAAAAAAATATATATAAAATAAAAAAATAAAAAATAAAAATAAAAAAAATAAAAAGGTTTTACTAAATCACATCAATGGTATTCAACACCAAATTTGCTATATTTCAAAAACATACTAGCTAATACACGTTGGAGATACTAAGCAAAAATGTTTAGTACCACAAAACTTCATTCTACTAAAATTTAGACTTATATCTTTACTATAGTTCAGCTTCCTTAATACTAAATTTCGTAGCAAAACTATTAAAAAATATATATGCTGTTAAACACTACTAGCATCATTTAGTAAAGCTAAAAAACAATAAAAAAAAAATAGAATTAAAAAGCAAAAAAATAAATTCTTTTAGAGTAAGTCAAGAATAACTGTATTATTTTGTTTCAATTCGACTAGTTCCTACAAGATTTGCCTGTTAGTCATCGGTTCTTCTAAAAAACCATGATCCTTTAATGGAGTAATCTATCGCAATTACTGGTTAACTATCGAAACAACAAAAAAATATAGATGAGAAGTGATATATGAAAAAAATGTTTGAAGTTTATTGATGCTGGCTTTCATATCCAAGATAGAAAGGTTTTGCTTCTGGTCAATAATACACCTTTCCATATGATATCAAAGGAACCTGAAAAACCCAAAGAACCCAAAGTGTATAAAAACTCTGAAGAGCCAGAAGAACCCAAAGAACTTAAAAAACCAGAATTTCAAGAAAAGTTTGAAGGAAGATCACAAGGAAGGCTATGAGAAAGATCTTAAGAAAGGCCCTAAAGAAGGTCTGAAGAAAGCCTTAGGAAAGGCCCCAAAGAAGACCGTGAGGAAGATCCCAAGAAAGGTTCCAAAAAAAATCTAAAAAAAAAGTTCCAGATTATTCTTATCTAACAAATATTACTGTGCATTTTTTTCTGCCTAATATGACTGTACATCTTCAACCCATAGACGCTAGCATAATAAGATACTTCAAGTCAAAGTATAAAAAGCTTTATTGCTATTATTTGTTTGTACAATTTGAAAAAGATCAAGAACAAAGATAAAAATTTTGTTTAATGTTGATTATTCTGATTTGAAACAATATCCCAAAAATCAGAACCCGAAGATACTAAATTCTGATATACTAAATTATAAAAAATCAAAATCTCAAAAGTATAATATTCTAAAAACTAAATCTTGAAAAAAAAAACCTAAAAGATTATAATTCCAAAAAATTACAATTCTGAAAAATCACAATCTCAAAAAATCATAACATCAAAAGTAATAATATTGACAAGTTATAATCTCAGAGAATAACTATGATCTTTTAAGTCTATAACCTTCTACGATTATGACGTTTCAGTATTATAATTTTTCGGGATTGTAATTTTTCAGAATTGTAATCTGATTATGATCTTTCAGGTTTGTAATTTTTCAGAATTGTAATCTTTTAGAATTATAATCTTTAAAGTTTTTTTTTTCAAGATTTAGTTTTCAGGATATTATGCTTTCGGGATTGTGATTTTTTAGAATTTAGTATATTGAAATTTAGTATCTTTGGGTATTAACCCAAACCCATTATTTCTTGTACTAACTGTTCGTAAATATAGAAAACTTACTCTATGACAAGCCATCAATTTTATTTCTGATGCATAGGATTAAATTAGTGATACTACTATAAAAAATTGCTAGAAGACTACTGGAATTATGCCAAAGGAAAGTAAACAAGAAAATAGGCCAGAAAACGAATCTGAGAATGTAATTTCTGAGGTCGATGATATTGATATGCTATTAGAAGATCTTTCAGTTGAGAATAATCCTGAAGTTCAAGAGCTAATAAATAATATTAAAGAATATACTAACCTGATCGATTAACCAGTCATAACTGAGGATATATTAACAGTGAAAGTATCGTAGAAATGGTAAATTATGAGTTTGATAAAGAAGAAGATGAAGCTAAAAATAACAATGATAAAGATCTCTCTTCTCCTTCTATAACTATTACTGAAGCCATAGAAGCCTTGGAAAAGGTTATTAGATATCAAGAAAGTCTTGAAGTTAGAAAAGGGTTTAAAGAGAATGAACTAATAGCACTGCGAAAAAAACTTAAAGAATGGCATTATGAAAAGGATAAAAACAAAAAGCAACTTTCAAATTTATCTTTCTTTGGTCTTAATGATTGAAATGGCTATAACTTATATATTATAAATTACTTGAATGCTTAGAAAAGAAAAAAAAAAAAAGCAAAAAAAAATTTGGGACAAAGAGTTATATATGATACTCTTACAATTGCATATTGAATATGTAGAAATATTGTCCTTGTAATATTTGATCCTACTAAGTAAATAAAAATTACTTTTGTTGGATTAACAGTTGCATTCAATTCCTTCTTATACGAAAAGCAAATTTTTTTTAGTAATTATGTATTAATAGTCTACATACCAAATCTATTCTTACAATCATAAATAGTAATAGTATGATCAGCTTTGTTTAATTAACTTGTAGCGGCAAGTCCATAAGAAAGATTTTCTGATACAGAACAGTGAATTAACCCATTTCAAATCCATTATTAATAATAATATCTTCGATAAACTTAAAGCTAACGGGGATTCATTTATTTCTGAAATACATGCTTTTTGAAAGAAATTAAGCACTCGAATATAACTTCCATTAGTTCCTTGATTCTTGTCTGACAAAAAAATTTTTAACTATAAATTTCATATTTACTATAAAAAAAAAGTTTCAGACTCAATGTGCATGAGAGCAAAAACTTGTAAAAATCATTAAAAATAGTTATAAGTTTTCACTCTTATGTACTCAAATATAAAACTTAACTCAAGGGTACTAAATACTGTGCACGTGGTGGAATGGTAATGATAGTGAGCCTAGCTTTTACATTCAAAAATATTAATATTCAGATTAATTTTACTTAACGATTTTGAGTTATATACTGATACGTACGTACGTACGTGCTTACTATTATGTTTTATTATCTGGTAGAGCTTCGATCCTATTTTTGACAAGTAATCCAGATTCTATTAAATCTGAATTAAACCCATGTTAGATTACATATAAAGCTAGCTTTGTAGTATATCCTTAGGTTCATTAAGTAAGTTCTTTGGCCAATTCGAATAAAAATCTCTGATTTAAATATTTGAATCTACCTGAATTTAAAGATCAATTTAGATAGATGGATTAAGAATCGAAGCTCTATTATCTGGTTTGTGAGTACTTTGCAATTTATAGCTCATTCTAATTAGTTATAAATCAAGAATTATTATTGGCCAGTTTAAAATATGACTTTATAGAGAACAATTTATATAGATCATTAATACAAATTTGTAATAGTAATTATAATACAATTGTGATTATATAGAATTGAAATAAATATTAAAAAGGTTGATAAATGAATTAATATGATTATATTGATTTTGTAATTATATGGAGGGTGACTATAGAGAGGTTTGGCTGTAATTAATATGTTTAAACAGAGATCTTTGAAGCTAGAAATATATTAGCTTCTTCGATTTTGGCACTATAGAAAGGTTAAAAGTTCATATCATTAGACTCAGAGTATTGTTTGTTTGAATCACTACATTCAAAATATATAATTCATATGTTCATATTCTATATATATCTACATGTTTGTTGTGACAGATAAAAAAAGTAAATAATACTACTCAATTTGATAAGTAAACAATATATTAATTTTTTGGAGAGGATAAGCTGAATTGTTTACTTTTTACAAAATTTGTATATTCTATAAAATACTGTAGATGACAAACTTTGCAAACTCTGCAACTCTGCTATTAAAAAATTAATGATTACTAATCATTAGCGAATCTTATTTTTTATATTGTCTACCTATTTTATAAAATATCTTAAAATTTTTCTTGAAAGAAAAGTAAAATTAATGAGAATATATGAGGTTCTTCTGTAGATTTTATAGTTGTATAGTTGATTCTTTAAGATTATACTATTTTAACGAGGGTCTTTCTACTACTTGCTTTTAGAATAAACCTTCTAGTTTAGATACCAAATATCTTGGAAAGTCTACTGATTAGCAA